CTGCTACGTGTTTTATGGGGACACTGACATACAACATATATTCGGCTTGCTTTCTTTTCTCCTGTTTTTGAGTATTTGATAGTGGTGGTTTTCTTAACTGTGGGTAGGCATGCTGGTTTGATTTGACTATATCTTTAGTCTGTATCTGAGTGATTTTATTTGGGTTCCTACAAAAGAAGGAGTTGGTTACATGAAGTATATGAATATACATGATACACGAATATCTTACATTCTGCTCGTGATGATACTTTAGCTGGAGATCTTAAAAGAAAAAAAAAAAGACATTTTGTAATGTCTCTTGTGAATGGGGGGGGCGGGCTACAAACCAAATCCGAGTATTCTTATTTTGAAACAAATAAGTTTACAACGCAGCTTTCTTTGGAGCATTAACGCATCCCTGCCCCACCCTCTGCGTGAGTACTGTACTTTGATAGTGGTGACTGGAGCCGCTGTAGAAAATGCCCATTGGAAAAAAAAGAAAATCCTAGTCCGTTGTTAGCTAGGAAGGCGTGTTTAATTAGCGAGGCTTCATCTGTTTGATAAATTTGAGTTCATTGTATATTTGTGCCGGGCTCGCTCCTTTCCGTTTGCGCTTCAAGACAGCGGCAGCTCGGATCCCCACGGCTGTTTCTTTCCGGACCCGTCAACAAACAAACAAACGGAAGCGGTCCGTTGGGCCAAGAACTTAGATTTTTAAACCTGCCCCCGAAATGACACGGAAACTTGTTCGAAATGCTCCGACCCGGCTTTGATGTCTTTCGGGCGGCTCGAGCAGATAATGCTAACGTTTCTAGACCTTAGAAATGCTTTCCGGATAAAAATCTTGCGAGTATTTCTAAATCGTCCTGAGCAAACCTAAAGCGAAGTCGCTACAGCACGAAATGGGAGGAACTGGGCAGAGCTCGGCTTTGGGAGAGGGGGCCCGGACGGGGCCGGAGAGCGGCCGGTGTCAGTGCCGGGTCGGGCCGTCTCTGTACGGGTTGTTGGTCTGCTCGTCTGGCTACGCGTTTACGCTGTGGTGCGATTTTATGCTGTACTTAAAAATCCGGGGAAAACAAATGTTTGTTTAAAAAAATATCGACCGGTTGCTCTAAAGTGCATTAATTATTCAGGGTAGATCTGTACTTCTTTCCTATCAAAGTCAAACGGTTAGCGTATTCACTCCGGGAAGTGAAAGCAAATAGTGATGAGTTTTTAAAACAAAATACGAGTGCTGGAGATTTACTGGGGAAAAAAAAGAAAGAAGACTAAAAGGAAAAGAAAAAAAAAAAAATAAAGGTGATGACCGTAGGGTAGGAAACGGCATGCTCTAATTCTGTCTAAATTCTGGCGAGCTGCTGCGTGACGCCCCATATATTCCCGAGATGTAGAGGGGAAGCTTAAAGTCGTAGAAATATAGCAGATGTTGTCACATGCTGAACTACGGGATATATAAGATTTTTTTCTCTTAGATGCACTATTTTTATAGAAACTAGAGGGAAGTTTAGAAGACGTCAGTGAATATGCTTCGGCCAGGTGTCGCGTTTAGACTATCTTTGTACCTCGTGTTTCCGTTTCTTTTGAAAAATTTTCCGAGGTTCAGAAAGAATCTGCTTCCCTGAATTTAAGAACCATTCACGAAAAGTCAGCGTAAAGTTAAAGTAATATTTTTATTACTATTTGCAACAAGTCCGTTGTGGGGCACATAATCTGACCTTGGCACCGACATACATTTAACATCAGTAAAATTTTCTTTAAAGGGAGATTTTTACATATAGTTAAATAATTTTTCACTTGGTGACAACATTCAGGCAAACGAGAGAATAAGAAAAGTACTATACAGGGATTGGAAAAAATGTACCTTTCGGGTTTCATTTTGAGGTTGCGAAAGTCCGATCGCTTCTCTTTTTGTGACTTTTTAAAAATTCACACTGGAGGGCCGGAGGAGAGGCTCTTCCCTTCTTCCGCGCAAGGCGGTGAGAGTTCGCGCCGGGAAAACCGCCTGCGAG